CTGCACATTTAAAGGAACCCTTAATTGCACATACATTATGTAACACCAGTATTTCTTAATAAATATAAGCCATAGGTCAAAATTTTGATTGAGCATTTTAAACCATTGAGGTATTGTATATACCTTTGTTGGTAGTCTTTTTTTTTTTTATTTGACGGGTTTTAACCAATTGAGATTCATTGTATAAAACATGTTAAAATGCATTTAAAACAAAAGCAAGACAATTATATACATAGTGCGCACGCAAAATATTTCTTACAAATATTGCCAAGACTAACCTACTGTGGAGAACTGAAAGCACACTTGGGCACCATGAATGGTTTACCTAATGTGCCATTTTTCACTTTTATTTGACTTTGGCTTACAATGCAAGCCCTTCCCAATCACTGCAAGTACATTTATTTTACATTACTAATTGAATTTGTGACTTTAACGGTGATCATTTTTCACATCAGTCATGTACATGCAATTGCATTCATTGATACAAGATGGATTGTTAGCGACCATGGAATATGGTGGATCTATCCGTGCTTATAATTTCAACAGATAATATCCTAGATGAATTGTTTTGGTGACTTGTAAAGTATAACTCCAATATATAGGTCAATGTAATGGTTCTTGGAATGCTGAATGTCTTATCATAACTCAGATCTTATAGTCAGTACACTTAGTACTACAGATTTAACTAATTTGCATCTTTCATTTCCAATGGAAGATTAGACTGACTTAATTTATTATATAGAGAATAATACTTATAGATGGCTGGATAGATATACTCAGCATACAATGGTAATATACAATTGTACAATTTCTGTAAAGAATTATAAAACAAATGAAAAAGGTGAAGATAATGGTCAGTGATTGATCAAAAAAAAAAAACAAACTACAAACAATACAAATCTGTGAGCAGCTAGGGCATAAAACACAGGTCCATGGAAATTCAGGAGATGGGATCAGGTGCCTAGGAGGAGTAAGGCATCCTCTGTTGACACCTGCCATGAGCCCTATATCTTATGTGTTGATCAGGAATAAGGAATATGGAACAACAGATTCACAGTGTATTGCATAAAAAGCACCAAAAATAAAGTAATGGAATTGAGTAAAATGGAATTTATACTTACAGGATCACATAATTCATTAAAAATGCTAAATAAAAACATCTAAGAAAAAAAATGACATTGCTGTACCAAGATAATCCAATAAAGCCAGGCTTAAAGGCTAAATATTTCCTTAACTTGGGGCACTTCAATGAAGAATTCACAACTTGTTACAAAAAAAGAAAAAGTTTTGTAAAAGTAAATATGAACAAATAAGTACATGCCCCTGTGCATGATGTGATAATGCTATCTGCAATTATTTTGGTTTGTTTGAATAATCTCATGGAGTAAGAAAAATTCGGTAAGAGACCGAGATTACATTGTACATATAGGAAGTGCAAACTAATGAAGTTCCCTTTGTGAGTGCAGTTTCCATGATTGGCAGCTTTTTTTTTTAGACAAAATAAAATTGAAAAGTTGGTTAATTAGGGAAAAAAAGGTCACTCAGGCATGTCATTTAAGGACGAATAAAATGGAGAGCTTTTGGATTGGTAGAAATCAGTCAGTCCCTATGGTTATAAGTATTTATCAGTGTTTATTGGTCGTCCCAATCGTTACTGTATCTGGGTGTGATTTGTTTTGTAGAGTTTTTCGTCTGAAGTGTTTTGATGACATTTGAAATTGCCATGTATCATACCAGGAACTCTCTATAATAATTTTACATCCTCATTGCCTGTGTACCATAGGGAACATTCCATTTGATACAAGGTCATCCCTTACGTCACAGTCTGATACTTTGTATTAATTCAGAGAGTGTGTATTACATACATTTCCGTAAACAAAAAATGAGGTAGATCTGCATTGTTAAGAGTTGTTAGATATAGGGATTGATTGATTTTTGAGTGCTTTTTAGTACAGCTGTTCAACAAAATAGGCAAAGAGTGTATGTAACAATTAGTGCATATTTATACACAGATATAATATATACTGTTACTAACAGTAGGTAAACATATATGTAGAAAATAAACAGTTATGTCATGCTCAGTTTTTTTAAGTAAATGGACAGAAAGGTGTTTATGGATTGCTTCCGTAATTCTACAGATAAATTAAGTCATGTTAAGGTGATTTTTCTCACCATTTTTTAAAAAAAATTAAACAATTTAATATTGTGTTGAATAAATACATGTAGTTAACAAATTCAATTATTTTCAAACATTTTACAATTACAGGTAATGAGCAAGTTTAAGAATAGCTACCGGGAGTTAGTGCAGTGTTGGTAGATTGGGGTGGGAGTGGGGTGGGTGTTTGGGTAGAATTTGAAGCACTGGGTACCCAAATCTAAGGTTGTCACTAAGAATTAAAATAGCAGCGGGCATTAAAAGAGTAGAAGGGGATCTAGGGTTCCCCTCCTAACAGGGGAGTGAGGAGGAATACCAAAGTAACCGAGGGAATACGTCATTATAGGGGGGGGGGATTCCCCGGGTCTTAGGGACAACCCTGCAAATGTCAAGTGGGCAAATGTAACCTCACACATAAAACGGGGGCCTCTTACTGTTTCAGAAATGAAACTTGGCCTACCACACATGCCACAACTACTTGTACCTGGACACACATGTACAACTCATATCCCTTAACAGTCTGTTGACTTTTACAGCAGAAGTAATTTTCTTCACTTCAGAAAGCAAACAAACAAAACTGACAGACAGCACACATTGACAGATATCAGATATCATAGATAGTGCACATTGTCAGATCTGACAGTCTTGATTAATGACAGACATTGGCATACACAGGCATATACCTCATGTACAGGACACACTCAAAGTTATCTCATGCACTCCACTTTCGAGAATGTTAACAGGTTTTACAGGTCACATAGTTACCCATGGCACAGATACAGACACACACATTATTGAAAGATATTGTAAACAGCACACATTGACAGGTATAATAGATAGCATACATACTGTTGACAATATCACAGCACACGTATTAAACAGATTTCATAGACAGTGCACATTGACAGATATTATAAACAGGACAAATTGACAGATATCATAGACAGCACACATTTACATATCTCATTGACAGCACAAATTGACAGATACCATAGATCTCAACACTTATTGACAGATATCATAGATCTCAACACACATTGACAGATATCATAGATCTCAACACACATGGACAGAAACGTGTATCATTAAGATTTCAACACAGTTACACACATTTGACAAATACAATCATGTATTATAGATCTTAACACACATTGACAGATATTATAGATCTCAATACACATTGACAGATATCATAGACCTCAACACACATTGACAGATATCATAGATCTCAACACACATTGACAGATATAGACAGCAGATATTGACAGGTATCATAGATCTCAACACACATTGACAGATATCATAGATCTCAGGACACATTGACAGATATCATAGACCTCAAGACACATTGACAGATATCATAGATCTCAACACATATTGACAGATATCATAGATCTCAACACACATTGACAGATATTATAGACAGCACACATTGACAGATATCATAGATCTCAACACACATTGACAGATATCATAGATCTCAACACACATTGACAGATATCATAGATCTCAACACACATATTGACAGATATCATAGATCTCAACCACATTGACAGATATCATAGATCTCAACCACATTGGCAGATATCATAGATCTCAGCACACTTTGGCAGATATCAAAGACAGCACACATTGACAGATATCATAGACAGTACACATTGACAAATATAGATCTCAACACAGGTCTGAATCTATTCACTGAAGGTTGCACATGGAGCACACTGAGAGACAGCTTTCAGTGACAAATCTCACAGGTCAAAGTGTCAGAGGTTATTGCCGATAAGGAAAACTTGGAGAAATTCAGTCTGAAACTGATAAGTGATAGTGCCTACTAATACTCTAACAAAACCTAAACATATTGTGGAATCACTTTTTAATACAGAGGTACTTTTATTCATGTAATAATTTGTACATAGAATAGCAGACCTTTTTTTAGGCATCTTCTTAACCAAAATTTGTGGCAGTAATGATTTTATATGGCCGGATTAATGCACTTTAAGTGCAATTCCAAAATCTGATAGTAAATTCCAATATTAGAATTCATCTTGGAATATGCAAGCATGAATATACAGAAAAAAAATTTAATTTTTTAAAACATATCTTCCTTTGGAGACAGAAGTTAAATTAGTCAAAGCTATTTATAGAGAAAATTAAGAAATACATTGTACATTGTATGAGGCATATTAAATGACACTATGTAGTGTTAAAGAATAAGAGGTAAGACTGAAATTCTTATAAATCTATTTTTACTAAATACCATTGTGAAGGTGATCCCCAAATGAAACTGACTAAGTGCTTGTTAAGAAAAGTCTATAAGTACATGTAATCTTATACATGTATTCAGTGCACATTTATTTTTATATGATGGGTGATTTCAGGTTCCTCCTGAATTTCAAAAAAAAAAAAAAGAAAGAATAGAAAGAAAGGTACATGTATCAGTTTTCCAGATTGCGTTGAAATATATTACCAAGAATGTACTTTTGGTATGTAAATGAGTTATCTGACTCTGGCTTATCCAAGCATTTAGAACGCTGTGTCCCAGTGATGTACAATTAGGTGCATTGAGTTTGCTGTGGTCGTGATGCGTATGATGAAGGGTAACATGATGTTTTCTGTTTTTGTTTCCACACTTACAGATGCATTTACGTTATTGAAATTTTTTGAAAGGAAATTTGTTCATTATTTTGTGAACTGATACGCAGGAAGTTGAACAGGAAGTAGAGAGATATTTCTCCCATCAGACGCGGTAACCGTAAGTGTTGTCAACATATATATCTCTCCCTACTCCCTTGTGTTGTCATCATACGTCTTTATCGTGAAGCATCAACAACAGGATTTATATAATATTTATATATCTGAAATGGGTATAGATGCAATATAGGATTGTGGACTACAAGTATTTTAGTACAGAATTGGTAAGTAAGGTCTAGTATTTACAAGTATTTTATAAAGAGGATGTATTATATGGAAACAATCTCAGCAAGTTCACACAGTTTGCAGTTAAGTGACTAATACAATTAAAGTCATGTGGTTTCAGTTTTTGTTTTTACATTAAATTATGGATTGTGGGATTATGGTTCCCCGGGCTAAAATCGGGGATCAAAATTTACACATTACATGTATATAAGAAAAAATCTTCTTCTGCTTAACAGAATCTTCACTTGCAGTATATGACTTTAAGAGTTGTGTGATCAACAGTTATTTTGTAGGTTTCCTTTTTTATGTTTTTTTCCCTTGTATTTATGCCCCATACACATATTATTTTGACTATTTCTGAAAAAATTAAGCTTAATACGACTTTAAGTGCATGTTAAACAAATATCATTAATGTTGGGTTCATTAATTATCAAGCAAATTTTGTAGGCTGCGCTTTAAATAAGTACATTGTATGAACCTATAACCTGATAGGAGAAATTATAAGTGTGTACCTGCAGTCAGATATTGCACTTTGGACTTTCTAACAGTATTCACTTTTTAGATGCGCTCCCTCGGGGCGAGCTATTGCATGGGTAGCATACAGGCTTGGGGTGAATTATATTGTAGTAATGCATTACATATTTGAATCCCCAGTCCAGTTATTTATTAAACTTTTTAATTGATTTAATGTTAAATCATTTCTTATTTCCTAGTACCTTATGAAAGAAAATTAAACACATGTTTTGACAAGTAAAAGGGTTAGACTGGGCCAAAATAAAAAATACTTTTGTTTCCCCTAATGCGACCCACCCAATTAAAACGTGCCGACTTGAAAGTTTTTTTCATAAGATTATTCCAATATTTATTTTTTTTTATTTTTGATAATTATTGGGACAACAACATTTATTTGAACATTTGTCTGGTAAAGGGCTCCAAATTTAGATTTGTATGCGGCACTTTAGGCCATTGAGCAGTGAAGAATCTTTTCGTGCCAGTATCTACTGCGACACTCGACCTAAGTTTTTAATGGTCTCATTCGAAGTCAACCGGTCTCAATGTCCCACATTGGGATTTGAACCTGCAACTTAGAAATAGCTCCTTACTTTGAGATTACAAAACGAAATGCTCTAGAACCACTGCACAATTCAAAGCCCTTGAAAAAGTACATTGCATATGTAAGCACTGGAAGCTGATAGTAGACCTGTATGAAAAAAATATATACTCTGATGTTCAGTCTTTGTGTACCCGAGAATCTAATTAAACAGATGTATTCAATTTCAACAAATTTACTCTGGTATGAGATATTTCACAAGTTCAATGGAATAATAGTTGTGAATTAATTAATACCTTAAATGTTGAGTCTAAAAGGCATTTGTATGGTATTCTAGCTGTTTACAAATCGCTTTCTTTTGTACTTAACTTATTTATAAAGGCATCATAATGATTCCATTTAATTTTAAAATGTATTTTCAAAGCTGCTGTCAAAAAAAATTATTTGCCTGCCTTCCTATCCAATTTGAGATTTTTGGGTCGGGTTAGGGGAAACAAAGATATTTTTAATGATGGCCCTGTGTGTGCATTATGCTCTAATAAAATAGTGTGTCTGTCTTCTATTACTTTGGGTATAAGGGATTTGTAATAGTCATGCAGCTTCAGTTACACCAACTCACCCAATTAATGTTTTATAAACATTTGAAATAAAGGACACCACAAATCTGCCACATCTGCTTCATCTTGGATATTTTGTTACCGTCCAACTTACAACTTAAAACTAATGATATGACAAACTGGACCCCTTCAGCATTTCCATCATCAACTTTCACTATTTATGTAGTAATATTCCACAATCACCTACATATGATGTTTATATCTCCCAACCGATTCAATATTCAAGAGCATCTTTTAAGTATCAATTTTTCAACAGAGACAGGCTACTGACAAATAAGTTGATGTTACAGTGTTTTCATCTATCTTGTTTAAAGTCAGCATTATACAAATTCCATAGTATTACAATGACCTTGCATGCAAAACACACTCTACCATTGGGTTGTATTTCTGAAAGACATTTTAAATCCCACCAATTGTAAAAACATTTTGTCTACGGATTACTCCATTCAACTGATCAATAGAGAGGGCTTATGGCAGGCTTCCTCTTAGGAACTGATCCCACTTTGGAGGGTTTTCAGGGGTCTTTGTTTTTGCCCTGTTCACAATTTGTATTTTTCTTAACTGTTACTTATATAAGAATGTTTCCACTAATAATTATGGGGAAAAAGTTACTGTTTTCCATATATTTTTGTATTATTTACATGATTGTCTAGTAAATGCATATATATAATTAATTATTTACTACATTTTATGTGACTCATATCAAAGTGCAATCCTTTAATTGCTGCATGTATGTAATAGTAAAATATATCTGAGTGGTACGTACTACCTGACTCAGTATGATGATCTTTGTGTTTTGTTTAACTTTACCTTCAGGGAAATACAATCACTTACTAAGTGCATTTTAATTGACATTGATTTTAGTAAATTGATAGAATCATTTGTAAGTGTAATGTGATACATATTGTATGTAGGCTGTGATAGGGGACTAAAAGGGTGTGGAATGTCGTAACATTTATACGCAATATGCTCTGCCCAGTATTTAGTGTGAATTTTGGTGTGTCATGGATTAAAGTGTGTAATCAACGAGGATATTAATTACTTAACTTTGAAGTAAGAACAACTTACAACAAGGAACTTAAGTGATGTTGTGGATGCTCGTAAAGTATACTCCTATACTCGGAGTTACAGGTGCTAAAGCATGAGATATGGCTTTTTTCAGGGAGGACTGTGGGGATTTTTCAGACTGTGTGAAGGTAATAATAAGATTACAGAGGATGTTCATTGCAAGGGTTGTTAGAAATGTAATTGTAAGTGGCATTCACTTGGGCAGGATTCTATTTTTAAATGTACTGGTGGTTTTATTAAGTGACAAGTAGCCTCTTCAAGTGCTTTTACTTTTTTTTTCCATATTTACATGTACATGTATATATTTGTTAATTAATTAGGACAGACATGAAGGTGAAATTCTCAGATGCTCCTCAGGTTTGATGCATGCTGCAGTAGTAAACTAGATTCAAATTAGACCCTCCCCCTCCCCCTTCAAAAAAAATCTGTATTTCTTTAATTGATTTAAGAAATTACCATCTTTATAAAGAACATTAGATTGTAGAAAAACTATGGCTTAATATGTACATGTAAATCTTAAATCAATAATATTCTTTGTATAGTTGTGTGACACATAACTTCAGAATTAAATTCATGAATTTTCATCACAATTATTTCTTGTCAATTACAATTAATCAATCCAGCAAACATGCAATACTTTAAACCATTATTATTCACTGTAGACATTCAGAAATATCTGCAAGTTTTGCAAATTTCTTGTACATTTTTTTACTTGCAAATATTTATTGCTGAAATCAATTTTTTATTATTTAACTAATTGAATGTGTATTTGTGTAGAATGTTTCCTTAATTAATAAATCTAGTCGCAAATGGATTAATGGATTTCAAACTGATTGATGAGTAAAATAAATGTTATTGCGAATAATAGTTGATTTACAGTATGCAGGGATTAATGGGCCTTCTGTCATTCACATTGTAAAATATGGATTTAATTGTCAAATTATGCATTAATTGCTAAATACATTTGAACTTAATTGATATACCAGATACCATGAAGTATGTGATTTAGAAGTCATAACTTATTCTTTAAGTATTTTAACCTGCCAATGAATATCTTGAATCCTCAGATAATCTCAAAGTTTTTTCTAGGTCCCATTGGGTTTGAGATATGGAGGTTTTACTGTATAATATTTACAGGCAAAGTTGGAACAATTCCATGTTGACTAGCTGACCTATGCATGCATTAATTAATGTAATTGTATTGTAAATGTTGGTAATGGATATGAAATTAAAAATAATAATAATGTCCAACCAATTTTCAAAATGAGGAATTAGGGTACATCAGACATAACATTTGTTATTGATCATGATGATAGTCTCATGGTCATTATCTTCTTTTTTGTATATTTAGGCAGTTTTAATACAGGTCCTCAAGATGAATATTATGTTCATGAATCTTGAAGGAAGTGAAAACTTTATGAGAGCCATAAAGGTATAGAGAATGATTATGTTCCTTGCATGGCATGTAATTAATTGTAATTTATAGATCCCATTGGACTATATAAAAACTCCACTGACACAACAGGTAGCTCAGTATCCCTCAGAAACTGGTAAAGGTACATAGTTTTAACAACATCTGTCTTCATAGTTTTGTCATGCGTCCAATTAACTCATTAATTAGGGAGACCAATGTCGCTGTGGGCGGCAAAGGTTTTGGAGCAGAGCTCTTGACCTCCAACTCCCTAACTGTGTTGGCAAAAAACTGACACCATTTGGCAGATAACTGTTGGAACTTCTTGTCTGTCCAGTGGGAAAAAAAAAAAAAAACTTGTTTGACAAAATTGCCCTTGTTTTTTGGATTCAGAGGAATGTTTGATCATTGGCATAATCGATTGTTGTCTGAGCACCGTGGGGTTTTGGTAGAAGCAGTGATAAATAGGAATGCGTCTACCCTAAGGTTGACGAGAAATGAAGACTTGGAGGCAGAGAATTGTGTGTAGAACAAACATTGAGCAAGTTTATTACCTCCAAACTTCTCATTTCCTGTGTGTTAACTAACCATGGGATCTACTTCTTATTGAATAAGAGAGATTTATTGCTTGTGTTTCTGGGATTAAATACAAGAGTATGTACTTTCTACTTGGTGTAGGAGATGAAAAAATTATTGTGGTCTTACATTTTTATTTACTTAAAAGTAATTTTGTAATTACATTTGAATGCATGTGGAGAAAAGCTAATATCAAGAGTGTATATTACTCTTAGTTTTTTTTTTCATACCTTGCTATTTTATCAGAGAATGGTTCAGACATTCTTGACAATTCATCTGCAAATAAATAACTATACATTTAAATCATTTCAGATACTCATCCTAAACACACCTTAGGTGGTATTGGAGTTTAACCGAGTTGGAGATATTAGGCGATATGACTCAAATCGGAAAATATATGCACCACACTGGTATTTCCGAGCCTGTGGCGCAGAATTAGGAAGTATTGATTATAGAAGTAAAGGCATCTGAACTGAATTTCTGTTCTGTTTTTCAGAGGTTGGGTAAAGATGACGATGTCATGGAACAGTCAATGAGGAAATATGAAAAAAAGCAACAAAAAGATCCGCCAGATCAAGCCCCCATGGGAGCCTCTATTGATGATGCAGATGACCTGTGTGAGGACTGCTGTCCAATCATCCAAGACATGACAAAGCTATCCTTGCTGAAAAATTCCCACCAAAGTCTTTCATACACAGGGACCAAGTCTTCTACAAACTACTCTATCAGTTTCCGGAGCACTGACTGCAATTGTATGTTAAGCAACAGTAGTTGCTCACATCACACTGCTGGACGGTGCACTTGTCAATGCAATAAATATGGGCTGCCACAACATCGCCAAAGAATAGTGCAATGTAGGACTTATTCACAATCCAATACTTCACCATTTCCATCCATAGCTAGTGAATCAATTATAAAAGACCAAACCAGAAAACATTCCAGAAACAGTATCACAAATTCATCTTCTTCATTAACTCACCCAGAAAACATTCCAAAATCTGGAAGTGAATACTCAGTTTCTAAAGAGGCCAGTTCTTTTAGTTCTTTAAGTACACATAAAATACCTCAGATTGTGCTTCAAAGGGCATCTTCGTGTGACGAATCACATGGCGGATCATCATTAGTGGAGGTCTTATATGGTGCTGATGTTGAGCTTTTTAAAAATGCCAAAATTCTCTCTGATCATAGATTTAAGGGTAAAGATGATAGTTTTGTGAGTCCCTCACTTAAGGTGGACCTGGACATAACATCACACCTTCCATTAAGCCCCAGAAGCAGTAACGGCAGTATCTGTAGTGGACGCTCCAGTAACGCAGATTCTGCCGTAGATATTCTGACTCCTGACGAGGAGTTTTATTCCGTGGGGGATGTTCAAGTCCCTCCTGACTCTGTTGATTGGTTCTCTTCCAGTGACTTACCACAAACAGACAAATCAACAGATGCCATGTGGTCCATTCCAGCGGTGGTCATCAGTGACCACAGTGAGCCACAAAAGGAGGGGCATCAAGACAATTACTGCCCAGACAGTGGGACAGAGTGTCGTTTAAATCTTAGGAGGAATACTTCTAATACATCTCTTTGTTCAGATGATTCCTCCCTTAGCTCCTCACCGGCTTTATCGAGGACCGGGTCCAACCTCTCCCTCACCGAGACCGATGAAGAAGTCCCAGAAACGAAACCAAAGGTGAGACTGTCTTTGTAGTCTGTCATCTTTATTTATTAAATGCAATGTAGTCTGATAGTTTGTGACATTTCATCACACCTGAGCCAAAGATTCTTGAAAGTGAGCTTTTATGAGTGAAGTTTGTCTTTAGTCCATCTTTCTGTTAACTTTTCACATTTTCAATTTCTTCTCCAGAACCACTGAACCAATTTCAACCAAACTTAGCACAAAGCATCCTTTGGTAAAGGAAATTTAAATTAGTTCAAATGATAACATCCTATTGAAAGGAGTGATAATCAAGAAATGGCAAAAAAAGTTAGTGTTTTAAATAATCTCCTTCTCAAGAACTACATGTACAGGGTCAAAATAGATGTTCAACTTACGTGAAAACCTCCAACAGAGTGTACATATTTTCATGTTTTGCAAATCATGCCCTTCCCCAGGGGGTTAGGATGGGGCCACAGTAGATGATTAAAGTTTAACATGAGAATATACATGATATATAAGAAAAAAAAATTAAAAATCTTATTTATAAGAACAATAGGACCATGATTACAGTATGAAGCATCAGGATCCAGCGAGGTCCTGAAGATTAGAAGTTTTTTTAACTCCTGGGATAGGATGGGGACTGTTCTGAAGGACAGCAAGCCCAAGGTGACTCAGGTGAGGGTTGTAACCCATGGGCCTCAGGTTTTATAGTTATGTTGAATGATTTACTAGTACTTGTAAATGTAAAAGAAACTTATTATGCAACCACTCACTGGTATTAAATATGACTATCATTGAAATAGATTTAGATTCTATCCTTAATTCGAAAGAAATCAATACAGTTGCTATAAGCTTAAAATTTTCGAAGGACATTGCTTGAACTGTTGTCTCATTGGCTGGCTGACTCTGTAATTCTTTTTTCTTTAAACCTCAGATGAGTGTTATGGTCTTTCAGTACCTCTTGTTTTGAAGGTATTCTGTCTAATCCTTTCAAACAGATAAATGAGTTTGATGTGTTTACACAAAGGTTGTCTAAACTGTTGTTCTGCAGGATGAATGTTTACACAAAAGGCTGCTAAAACCTGTTATTTCTGCAAGAAGAGTTATCTCTCTTATCTTATAGAAACATTTTTTTTAAGGTCAAGATCTAGTAAATAAAAGGAGCCTACAGATTTCTCAAATTTGAGAAATAAATTTCTTTAATGAAGCTTTTTAAGTATAGCTTGGTCAAATAAGGTGTTTCGGGGCATAATTTGTAGGTAAACAAGACGAAAAATCATATCTTAAACTTTCATTTTCAATGAAAAATTAAGAAAATCAGTCATGAATATGGGAGTTTTTTCCATATCAGACAAATTAAATGTATCCAGATTGCCTACAGTCTCTCAGAAAACAGTATTTTGTATGTTCTTAGCCTCTTCTTTAAAATAATATTAAATTGAATATAGGTTTCGGGATTACTTTTCACATGATTTCAAATTGAATTCCAGAAAAGTACTTTATTTTCTACATAATTCTTTTACAGCTGTAAAGTACGGGAAAAAGAAAGTTTAATTTGTTTATGACGTCATTTTATAATGGATCTAGCATCAAAAAGGCAGTCTAAAATCATTTACTAGATCTTGACCTTAAAAAGCAACACATCTGTGATGAACAGATCGAGTTCAATATTTTTAGGGTGTAAATAAACTATGTTTATTGTATTTAATTCTAGTCTATAATCATATTTTAAGGAGAGGTAGTAAAAACTTGATTGTGAATTAGATAGTTAGGTTGATAATTGGCTTCAAGCATTCAGTATACTGTATATATACATGTGTGGGAAGTTGATACAATCTTCATCAGATATAGTCACACACAAACTTGAATTTGATATCTCCTATGATCAGCTTCAGGGATTGTGAACATGAAAAATATACTTTTCAGGCACTGAGATGAGGAATCAGGTACTTGTAAGTTGAATGGGTTGTTTTTGGTAAAACTGGAATGTTTTAGGACTGAATTGGTAATTGTCGTGATCAGTTGTGCATTGTATCTTCTTGGTGCTCTCCTCAAATTTAAATGTGCTAGGATTGTTTAAACATATCGAAGTATTACAGCAATTGACACTAAGCTAACGTTTCACTTAGAAAAACATATCCTAGTATATGTGTTAATTGATTATGAGGAAACTTATTTGGTGGAGACAATATTCATTTTATAAATAGAAATGAATCAATATTGAATATTGATGATTCCTTGAGTATGTTGCTCAAGAGGAAACATTTTTCTACAAGAAGGAAATCTGTTCAAGGGAATAATTGATACATGTCTCAATCATGCTCATAAACAAGCCAACAGCACTGTAGATTCATACCTGATATGTATAACATTTATTCCTGCATCAATCTGCATTGGTACAAACAGTAGATGTTAGAAATATGTACACCTTACTACTGATACAATGCAAGTCAAATATTTTTGAAGTCCTAATTAATTTCAGTAAACAAAAACACATGAAACCCTTCCGAGTACATAAATAGTGATGAAATTAATAGACATTGAGATTTAAATAAAAATATATGGCTATAGTGGAGACAAGAGTTACAATATCCTCTAGGAATACAGTTGAATTTTGGTATGTCGAACACTGATATCTCAAGTACCATGGATATGTCGAAGTGATTTGAAAGTCCTAACCACTAATTCTTTCAGTATTTTACCTGCATATCTTGAATCCTTGGATATCTCGAAGTCTTTTTCTTGGTCCCATCGAGTTCAAGATTATGAGTTTAGACTTAGACTATACTCTAATCTTGTGAAAAATTAAATTATTTTTCTCCTACCTAAATTATAAATTTGCAAAAATTATTTTTTTGCATAGAAAGGCCTATTTATAATCTATCATAAAAAGAAATATTTTGTTGCAAAATTAAATTTAACTCCGACTCAGTTACTGGACTTTGATCATGCTGCAATGCCAGGTGCATGAGCAAATATGCTAATTGCTTCATAACAGAATTGATATTTGCTACGTAGTCTTTAGACACTTAAATAGAACAAAGAATTCTTTCCTTTAATTGCTATACTTTCTCTAAAATAAATTTGGAACATTTCATACATTTATGGATCATTTATTGTTCACTTGTGGACATTACATTGAAGCAGTGTATGACAAAGTGTGTCGATTAATTCCATACATGAACTCTCAGGGATTTTGAATTAATCATTAACAAATGAGTGAATGTATAGTTGTTAATTTTGCTCATTTTTGGGGTTACTGGTTTTGTGGGGATCGAGAGATAGAGGGGGAATTCAGGGAGACAGAGGTTATACATGCAGTATGAACCCTGGCAATCAAAACCGTGAAAATATCTCATGCACGATTTTGTGAAGCACTTTCTGATATGACTTTTAAAAAGTTCTACATGTATATGCTATATATATATAAGTAATATAACACCCATTAGTGGTTAATTACCTTATTTTTCTGTTTAGAATATGAGAATCAGATATACATCTGTTGCATTTAAAAAAAAAAAAAAGCTACAAAAATTTAATGCTTAATTTCTACAACCTCTAGTACATATACTGCAGATAACCAAATAATTTTCATAAGATGGTACGTATTTGGTATTTATATGCAAGATAAAATTTTCACAAATTCTGGTCATTTTTATATATAATCTATACTTATGAAAATATATGCAAGAGTGAAATTTTTGTGAACAGACCACCTCTTGTAATTACACGAAAATAATGTTTTCGTGAATAAAAAAATTTACAGTATATACTTCCATACAGATCAATCATTTATTTGATTTGAAAAACAATTGATCTTTATTTTTAAGGAAGAAAATGTCATTAAAATATGCATAATTTAAACAGTAATTACTGTATGAACATTACATGTGTAATGTAAATATATAGTTGATATCAAAAACTTTTTAGACATGATGTGAATACAAACTAGCCGTTAATGTAATACAAACCATTAATGTAATATCATTAAAACAAGAATTTTAATAATTTTATTATTTCCCAGCAATGATCATTATAATATTTTCAATCCAGTGTTATAAGAATCAACTCATTCAAGTAGAGACATATACCTCAATTATAATGAGAGGAAGCTCTATAGAATAACCTTGTCCATATAATAAACAGTTTAACTGTTTTATTAACATACAAAGCTCTTTTATTTCTGTTGTATTTTTACAAAGTATGAACAGCTGGGAAAGAGAACCCAGTGGCCCACATAAAAATTAAACATCGACAGAATACATTATACAGAGTTTTCATGATACCAAATTATCAATATTGTATTAAGTTTTCGAATGCATAGATCTAGTAGGTCTTTTTTCTGCCATTTATTTACAACTGTTAACAAAGTTTTAATATCATTTATCCCTTTCATGTGAGTGAGGAAAAACAAAAAAAATCAATGCAAATTCATTCTGACTGGCAAGAAAATGTAAAACTGTAATACTCATGTAAGATTTCCTTAGTGTTATTTCCGTAGGAGGAAAATGTATCTTTTGACCTACAATACATACTTTGTTTCCTGGAGATGTTGGAGGAAATAATCGCGTGAGATCAACACTGGTCTGGGTCATCAAAGGACATATAAGTTATATATATAAATAGATATATATATATACATATTGTGAACAAAATGACAGATAATGGAAAGTGCACTGTATCCTATAAAATGTTGAGTTTATGAAGAGCTGAGGTCATATTATTAGTATGTGATTTATAAATGTCTCGAAAACAAATATTTCTTCAACCTATCGTGGATATAATTGGAATGACATTTACAAAGTGTCAATTAACTTATAGAGGAACAGATGGGCAATATTGCAAGTATACAAGTAACATATAATGTTTTCCTAGTGTTGATAAGTATTTGACAGTTTGTGGTCAGGAAGTGGACAGAGGTATCTTTGTTGGAGGCAGCCATTTTTTTGTGAGCAGTGTCCGGAGAGAGAGAAAATCTTCAGTGACTGTCAATCAGAAGTCATCAAATTGAGAGGAACCTGGGATGTGTGGGT